AATAATAATAATAATAATAATAATAATAATAATAATAATAATAATAAATAATAAAAAATAAAAAAAAAGGTTTACAAATGCTTATTGTGCTTACAAGGTAGTAACTTAGTCTGAAATATTTAATATAACAACTCTAAATGAAATATATAGGTCAACAGATTTGGCTCACTATTTGGCAACAAAATGGTCAGTTTTGTTTCTCTGAACACCCTTAACACCTCTTTGTCACCCTTAATTATTGCATAATAAACAATTACTAATGCTGTGTAAAATGCTTACAGAGGAATTAATACATATATATAAACTATTCATTAGCCATCTGTAAGGGAAGCCTTATTGTGAAGTGATACCAACAAACAAACCTTTATTTCCTACTTTTATAAGCAAGTCATATTTTTACCATGTGTCCTTGTAAGCATACAGGGTATTCAGGAGTTTATTTGTAGCACTGGCTAAATAGAAATGGCAATTTTTAGCAGGAATGACTTTGATGTTTGAAAGCACTGAATCATCTATAAAACAACTTTAGGGTCTCTTCACAGTTGAAACAATCAAAAGAAGACTTCTGCCTCTCCTCTACATTAGAATCTGCTTTTCAGTTCAAATCTGTGCAAAGCAAAATTCCTTCAAACCCTCTTTCCACCCTCATGCTCTTGTCCCCTGAACTCCCCATCTGCCTCCCCGTCTCTGCGGCAGCATGGAGAGAAGTGGCATACCTTTGTTCATGTCAATCAGCTGCTTCTTCTTCTGCTGGCGCTCCTGCTTCTCGCGCTCTGCTTTCTCCTTCGCCAGCTTGGCTCTCTTGATCTTCTCCTCCATCTCCCTCTTCTTGTGGTTCTCCTTCACTGCTTCCTGATGAGGCACACGAACATAAACAGATAAAATCAGAATGTGGCTCCTACCACCTTCAGTCTTTTATCGACTTCCCTACTGTACAGCGTTACAGGGGCAGCAGAGTACCATCAGCAAATTTGTATCCCTTGGTGGGCTTGATGGACAAAGATAAGTGTCTGGAATAGTGTATAATTTTTTTTCTTCCTTTAATGTTTGCAAGTAAGGATTGTATAATGCTATGCTTTTCACATTTTCAGTTATACAGAGCTACTTTATTGTCATCAATACATTAATAATCAATTGTACACATATGTAGCAAACACTGACGCATTCTTTTTCACAATATAAAGGAGCATTGCACTGGAAATAAAACAATAAAAAAAAAAACACTAAATAAAAGCAGCAGTGTCTCAAAGGAGGAAGAAAACATCCTTTTCCTCCTTGGTCACCAGCTGAAATGTCAGGAAGGAGTCATGGGAAGAGAGATAATCAACAATATGCATGCCTTTTACAAATGTGTCCGTTTGTTCTACTGCCAGCAGAGAATAAGATGCACCTGTGTGACCTTTGGAGACGACAAAATGCTTTCGTATCCCAGGCCTGTGGTGCGGCGATGAAAAGGTTCCGCCGACGGTAAGTGCATGAGTGGGAGGTAATACCCATTAAAATGATTTTGTGTTGAGGTCCACGCATGTTTGTGTGCTTCTGCTCATCTGCGGTGTTCCCCCTCATGTATACATTCATGTATATATGGATGCAAAGCCCCTCTCTGTGCGCTGACATAATAAGTGGCGACAGTAGGCCCCCATCTACTGGCCTCGTGGCCTCGCTGAGTGTGTCGTGTTGGCAGTTAAGACAGGAGGATTATGGGGATTGTGGGAAAGGAACAAGAAAAGAGCAGCCCATCATGCCAGTCAATAGCAGGGATTTTTTACATGCCTAAGGACACAGGCCCTCATTGTCACTGTGCCCTTGTTAGATGACAAGGGCAACAAGAGTGGCAGAGATAGACAAGATGTGTAGTAAATCTGATGAAATAAAATATAAATGGTTAAAAAAAATAAAGTTAGTCATGAGGTGGTGAGTTTTTAAATCATGCACATTATGAAAAGCTGAAAAAAGTGATGCTTTTTCTGTGTAACTGCTGCAGGTCAGTGAACTCTCACATATCAACATGTATTTAATTACCACATCAAGTTTTAGAAAATTACCCTGCTGCTCCTGACACAGAATATTGATTGCATGCACATTACTGCTGTTTTGAATTAGACAAGTGCTGTGCTTTGTGCTCTTTAACAGTTAACTTTAGCATGGACAATATTTGGCTAATTTCAGTGGAAACATCACTACAACATTCAGAGTCTACACCATCAAATGGAGCATAAATAATGCAGACTACAAATAAATTCCTGTCAGCAAAATTTACTCTGAACAAACAGTTAAATCTGACTGTAAACAAGCTTATGCAACAGGATTCTGTTGTTCTAACTAAACAACATAACTAATTATCAAAGCACTAAATATGTGTTCTCTGTTTTATTATTTGCTCATACACCATTCTCTTTGAATGCTTTTTCCTTCAGGGATGATTATTATTATTATTATTATTTGGTAACTGTAGATTTTAGGAGGACTTCTGGTGTAAAACAAGATGTATGATAAAATTATTTGTGATTGTATAATAAACAGGAGAAAATTTAACAACAAAAGTCAGGGTTCATCTTAAAAAGCTTGAATCTCTTGTCAGATATACTGTAAGAATTTCAGAGATGTTTTAAAATTTATTAACACAATCTAATGTCAAATTGATGTCCTGAGTACTTTCATCTACTGAAGACCAAAATGGTTTGGTGTCATTTTAAAAAGAGCGTGAAAGCAATTTTATTTGGTTCACATTTATTCATTTGTTTTTATGTGAAACTGATTGTGACTCTAATAGCACCACATGAGATTAACTGTTCAAAAAAAACTAAAAAGTCTGGAGGAAAAAAAAAACAAAAAAAACAACAACAACTGAATACTGTATTTTTAAAACCCTTTGATAAAATAATAATAATTATAAAAAAATAAAATAAAATAAAAACATGTCCGTTGGCATTAAGAAAAAAAAAAAAGTATGGTAACAAACTGTTACCTTTATCTGGTCATAAATCAGCCTAATAAAATTTAAATCAATTTAAAGCATTTCTGAAGGGAGTGGTGGCTCTTCTACAGGTGTGCAGTGGAGAGCATCCTGTGTTCCAGTATCAACGTGTGGCATGGAGGCTGCACAGCTGCAAAAAGAAAAGTTTTGCAGAGAGTGATGAAGGCTGCACAGAAGACCATTGGAGTCAGCCTCCCCATCATCACAGACATCTACACCTCCAGATGCAGGAAGAGGGCCACCTGCATCATGAAGGACCCCACTCACCCAGCACACACACTTTTTGCCCCACTCCCCTCAGGAAGGAGGTTAAGGAGCATTAAGTGTAGAACCACTAGACTGAGGAACAGGTTCTACCCTGAGGCTGTTAGACTCATGAATCTCTAACTAGAATAATCACTGTGAAAAAACATATCATGTTGCTGCTGATCTGTTTCATGTTGCTGCTGATCTGTTTCAATGTTGATGTGTTCATGTGTGCACATCTGCTCACAGACTCATGTTCATGTTTGTGCTGATGTTCAATGTTTTATGTTATGAGTGCTTAGTGTATATTTAGTTTATGTTTTTCTTAGTTCATATCTTAGATGTTATTACTGTTTTTCTTATACATTTTATTGTTGGATGTAACTGGGACCCCGTGTACATAATTTCGCTCCACCACATGTACCACATGAGGTGCGAATGACAATAAAGAAACTCTGACTCTCTCTCTGAGTAAGGCCCTTAAACCCACCATCTGCTCCCCTGGGCACCCTAGATAGCAGCTCTCTGCTCCCTACAGAGGGCTGTGGTAGCTCGGTGGTCTGTGGTTGCTTCAGGAAGGGCATACGACATAAAAACAATTGCAAAGTCTTTATGTGACTTAGTTCACTGTGGCAACCCCTGAAGAAAGGAGCAGCCCCCCCCTGGAAAAAAAAAACCCCCCCAAAAAAAAAGCGCCCCCCCCCGAAAAAAAACAAAAAAACTATTTAAAATAATTTCTACAACAGAGTATTAGTTGCGCTAAGAAAAAAAAAAAAAAGAACATTATGAGAAAAAAGACAATGTTACGAGAATAAAGTCATACGAAAATAAAGTTGAAATATTACAAGAATAAAGTCGTACAATTACGAGAATAAACTTGTAATACGTCCTGGGTCAGCTCGCACCTGCTCTGGACAGCTTCTAATGTGAGTCATTGTGTTTATGAAGTAGTTTGTGATAACTTTTGGGTCACTGTGAAATATGCATCCATCCACATTATGTCATGACTAAATCCGTCAATGCAGCCATTAATTGCAATGTCATACGGCTTCAGTTAATCATAAGAATCCATATGCCACAGTGCGTTGGGCACCCTACTATTGCACTGCCGACGTCAACATTCATCATTTTACCACAGTTGTAAGACTGTTTTATCATGTCGGAGTGCTGATAATATTATAACTTTTTTTTGGTAATATTCAGAGTTTAATCTCGTAATACTACAACTTTATTCTCACATTAATTTAACTTTGTTCTCATATTACAACTTTATTCTTGTAATATTTCTACATTATTCTCTTATGACTTTAGTATCATAATATTACAACTTTATTCTCATAACAATATGACTTTATTCTCATATTATGACTATATTGTCGTACGACTTTATTCTCATAATACCATGACATTATTTTTGCTTGTAATGTTTTTTTTTCTTAGCGTGGCCCTAATACTCCATCATAAATTAAACCATCCATCCATCCATCCATCCATCCATCCATCCATCCATCCATCCATCCATCCATCCATCCATCCATCCATCCATCCATTATCTTTACCCGCTTCGCTTCTTCCATTTTGGGTCACGGGGGTCGCCGGTGCCCATGTCCACCAATCACTTTGCGAGGGGCGGGGTACACCCTGGACAGGTCGCAAGTCCATCACAGGGCCACATAAAGACAAACAACCATTTACTCTCTCACTCACACTTAGGGACAATTTAGAGTTACCAATCGGCCTAACATGCATGTTTTTGGTCTGTGGGAGGAAACCAGAGTACCTGGAGAAAACCCCACGCATGCATGGAGAGAACATGCAAACTCCACCCAGAAAGGCCCCCGGACCGATATTTGAACCAGGGACCTGCTCGCTGAGAGGCAGCAGCTCTACCAGTTTCACCACCATGCTGCCCTAAATTAAACCTCTCATCCTAAAAAAATGTCTCTTTGGTACCTTGAATCACTTAGAGGTCATGTGATCACTAGTACATTTTTTTTTTTTAAAGTATAAACTTTACAAGACACAACAACATGTTTGGTATTCAATAACAACATTGTGAACTGACGGCTTGCCAGCAGCACATCTGATGAGGCAAATTCAAGTTTTCAGGGTCAGCGAGAAAATGAGAAGTGAGTGTATGTCACATTCCTGACCTCCAGAAGGTGTGACACTTACTGAAACGTACTTATCTTCTTTTCATACGTTTAATAACCTTTTTTGGTGTGATCCACAAGTGCAATACCAACAAGAGTACGGCTGGATTTTCTCTTTCTGGATCTGTTTCCTCAATAATTGATGGCATGTGTGTGTTGTTCTTCCTTGACCCTGCACAGCACAATCCATCTTCCACAGCACGGCTTCCCTCCCATGCATACAAGTCTGCCGACCCAACGAGGGAGCAATGAGTATTTCCAACTGCTCAGTTGCACCAGTGATCTCACATAGAGTGACATTGCTGCATCTCATTTGAATTTTACAAACACCACAACGCCTGCGCTTTAAGCAGCAAATGTGTTTATTAGCCATCTGCTGCACTATAGCCCAGTATGTGGGGGGAAATGGCTTCAAGAAGTTATAGGTTACAGACTGTGAGATGTCTGCTCGGTGGTCTACATTACACCATATTGATAAATGACCTCCAAAGTCTGCTGCAATGAATGTAATGACTGCATCACTCATGAGTAAGTAAATACACTACAGACACATGATGGTGATTCAGCAGTGTAGGTCTGTCTGAGCATCATCCTTCTTATGATTGTGATCATTTATCATATCAAAGCAATAAGTAAGCTTTATAAGTATCAATAAGTGGTTAGCATCAAAACTTAGAGGCACCAAAACTATTATTCTGATTGCGTAGATAATCTGTCTTGATTTTTTTATGAACCCAGTTGGACTCTTTTAGTTGTATTAGAAAGTCACTTCATTAGTTCATCCCAGCCCATCTGTTAAGCTTTGATAACTCATTAATGCAAAAAAAAAAAAAAAAAAGTCATCACCTTTATGCTTCTGGTCAGGATTACATATACACACCCTGAGATTGCATTTCACCCAAGCTCTATTTCAGAGTACGGCAGTACCATTAAATTAACAAATTGTTAAACTCCTCAAATACCAACTCCATTTATTGGAATCAAATAATATTTCATTGGTCACAGAAGGGGGGGGGGGGGGACAGGGAGAATAAGGCGGGGTGAGGGAGAGACAAAAAATGAAACTGAAGGAAAATAGAGTTAATGGATTCTCTTATCAGTTACATTCAGTTCTGTGAGGACTGTCTGTCAGTGCGTTTACTCAAATGCCTTATGTCGGTCGGGAGCATTAAGCTCTCGCTTTTTAGTAAAAGCAATTTAGGGTGACTATATTGCGATGGAATTCTTTAATACAGCAGATGCTTTGCGCTGCATTACAAAAGGGCAATGCAATAGAGACAGAACTTAGCAAGGATGTTTTATTTATTTATTCATTCGCTTGTTTGAGTCAAGCAACTCAACATTACAAATAAATATAAATATATAAAAAAGTCTCGGGCTCACAAGGCATTCAGTACCAACATATCTTGACAATAGGTCATCACATTCATTTGATTTGCCATTTAGAACAATAAGCAGCAATTGATGCAGGCTGCCTTTTGCAAAGATAAATAAACATCAGACCCTTCCTGAACATCATTTTACTCACTAGAAAAGCTAAAAAGGAATTACTTGTGCTGCAAAGGAGTTAGCTCAGTTATTTCACATAGTAAGGAAATAAAACAACAATCAAATAGGAACAATCATTGATTTCTTGTGCTCTGCAAGCAGATGGGATTAGCCTTTCTGACAGCAAAGCTGAGAAGCCAAAAACTATAAATAATATCTGAGAAATGTGGTGATTAAAGACCTGTTTTTCTATGAATATATTAACAGCACTATATCCCACTTACTTCTATCCCCTTAACCATAGCAGGGAAGTTTAAATCGGTAATAAAATGTTCATAGGCAGCTATTTGCTTAAGAGAATAATTTATTTTCTTGGCTGGGTGCGTCTTTGAGAGATATGCAACTCTGGAATTCTTGAGGGAGTGTTGTTTGTGCTTGTGCACTTTGATCAGAGAGAACGACGAGCTGGTTTCAAATGTGGATCAAGGGAAAGAAAAGAAAAAGCTTCAGACAAGGGGACCTTGCCGTTTATACTAATGGATTGTGAGGAGAAAAAGACAATACCGTCTGGACACCATGTCATCATCCTGACACCAGAAGCTTATGGGGTGGTGCCAGGAGGGATGCACAGGAGGTAGACAAGCAAAGAGACAGTTAAAAAGTTTAAAAGTGTACAAAATAGAAACCTTTTCTCAGGAGTGATGCTTTGTTATTTTACTATTGGTGTTATATCTGCCTTACAATCAATGAAAAAAAAAAAAAAAAAAAAAAGATGTTACTTTTTTTTCTCTTTTTTCCTTTTTTTTTAAATAAAAGAAAAAAAAGAGAGAGAGAAAAAAAAAGATGTTACTTCTAATGTTGACAAATCTTTCGTTTTCCAAGAAAATTCCAACAAGGTTTGCACTAAATATTGATGTAAAATTCTATAAACACAAGACAAAGGTTGAGCAACAAGTTCATGAGTCTGCCCTGGAGTTATAACTCTCCTACCTTTATTTATCATTCTTTGGAATAATGTATCCTAAACTCTTTCCTAAAATATTCCTTACCTGGTCTTGTTTATCATTTAAAGGGTGTTTCAGAAAACTGTTTTAGAAAATGGCCGCACAGACTAGTCCATGTTCCTGCTCCATGTGTCTGTTCATAAGTCACTGATGGAGACGGCCACATCCTGCAAAGATGTGAGCTTTCAAAAATGAAATGAGCATCACAGAACTAGAAGAATGGAGCAGAACTCAGCTGTGTTGACAGGAAGAGCAACACATTAAATGTGTGACAGACATCTCCCTTTTATTGTTTTCAAATTATGATGAATTAAGTCTATTCTCTTTGTGGCTAATTATTTATACACTACAAACAATGTTTCTGTTGTCATGAATTATCATCCCTCAGTATTAAACCTGTTTGCTGTTGTTTAATCCTGCTAATGGATGGCCACACAAACTGTGTCATCACTTCATGTGTTAATGAGCTGTATAGTTGGCTAACCTTTTTACATGTCAACCATTCTGGCTCAGTTACTACTGTAATGTCTGGACTATTCAGCACACCCAAATATAATCTGAGCTCTAGGCCTGTCGCGATAAACCATAAATCAATTAATCGCATGATAAATGAAAATTATCGACCTCATTTTCATTTATCGGCTTTATCGTTTTTTCATGTCTCTCTCTTTCTGAAGACACTGGATAACAAAAAGCTCAACTCCGGTGCTCTTCACTGACCCCTTTCTTTCTCTTTAAAATCTGTTTTAACCGTCCAAAATCACGTTTTTTGATCGTTACAAAAAGCTAAGCTGAGAAGCTAAGCTACGAGCTAAGCTAACAGGCCGACCTCGGGGGAAAAAAACTCCGTCTTGTCGAAGCTCCAAATTTCAAGGTTGAAACCCGTGCCTTTATGTAAAAAGTTGTTTTTCTCTGCAAAAAGAAGCTGAGAACTTGTTACTGATGTTTTTTATTAAAAGCTTTGTGTGCAAAATGCTTTGCTAGAGAGCTCAAACCACACCAAGCATCTGCCATTTTGAGAACTGAAGAGAGACACTCCATGTCACATCAAGAGGCCTCCCTCCCATTTTTCTTAAAGAGTCATGCTGCTCGCTCCCTTACTATCCATCCTTTGATTCAAACAGTCTTATACTGCCATCCGGTGGTTGAAAATGGTACGACACGCAAAATAAATTAACAAACGTGTCTTCTTAAATTTGATAATAATTGCTAATTACTGTAAAATTTCAAACAATATTACCATTTATTGCAATAATTTCTGTGTTCTCAAAAGAATCAACAATTCCTAATCAATATTATAGAATGAGAAAATCAACCAGATTCAGTTTTGTGACACAAAATACAGTCGTCCCTCACTATATCGCAGTTCACTTCTTGCGGCTTCACTGTACAGTATTTTTTTTTAAACCCAGTTTTTTTTTATATTTTGTGTACTGTACAAGCTGTGCAGTTCTGTACACTCATCTCATCATCATCATCTTCATCGCCAGTGTGTTTAAGAGCAAATAAAGTGTTTACAAAAGAATGGGGGAGGTTAAGAAGAGAATGTGGGGAAGGTTTCTAGGAGTGTGGGAAGGGTTTATAAAGCCTTAAATCTATGTAAATAATAAAATAAATATAACACTGCTACTTCACAGATTCTCATCTACTGCGGGGGTCTCTGGAATGTAACCCCCACTAAAGGTGAGGGATCACTGTATATTTAAATCCCTTTAATATTGTTTTACTTTTTAGATTATCAATACACAATGTGCAGATAAAAAAAAGCTTCTGTTTGCAGTACCCTAAACATCATTGTACAAACTCAGATTTTTTTAAAACACAACGCCAACTTTACGATGGGTTTTATACTATTAAATTGAAAAAAAAAAAAAAAAAAAAAGTTTTGTATAGGACATACATAAATCAAATGCAACAAGAATAATCATTTGGTTGTTTTATATTTTTTTGCAGGATTTTTTTTTGGTTTTGTTTTACTAAGAACAACTGTAGATGGCAAGAAATAGTTTTTTTTTTTTTTTTTACCATACTTTAAGGAGAGGGTAAAAAAAACAAACAAAAAAAAAAAAAAAACTTTTAAAAACTTTATGGTCAATTGCAGCACTTAAAAAAAATAAAACTCTGTGTTTGTGTTATGTGTGTTTGGGGTTGGGGTGGGGGGGGGGGTGGATAATAAAAAAAGGGCACTGTGACCTAGAAAAGAAAACATATATATGTGAGAAAAAAACCTAAGAGGTGAGCATAGCTACATTCTTAGAGCAGAAAGAGAAGTTAAAAGAACCAGTGAAGCTTGTCATGGCTGAGGAAATATAACGTCTACAATAAATGGACAGGAAGAAGAAATGGCACACTCTCAAATGAGAAAAGAAGAAAAAAAAATGTAGGTGAAGAAGGTAAAATATATGCCTCAAAAGCAAAAAGTATTGATGTATTATGAAGGGCAGAGTGTGAACAAATCTTATTGCTTCGTTTCAGATTGAATTTTTATACTTTTGAAATGAATCCTGGTGATGACACGGTGACGCCTTTGAAGTTTTCTTAAATTGCGTGAGAAGGTCTTAGTTTAAAAAAAAATAGGGTCTGGTGTTTTCATGATGAGATGCAAGAATCAATCTCAAAGATAAATGAGCTGCTGAGAAAATATCACAAATCGATTGGAAATCTCCTTTAAAAAGGCCTAAACTATATGAGGTGCAATTCCCAATTCCCATTTAACATCAAATTCCATATATAAGAGTATAAAATTAATTTTCACACAACTTGCTATACCATCTGTGAGGCCCTACAGTGAGTTTCATTCAAGTGTGAACATGTGTAACTGCACACATTCAATGTGTGAAGACATGTGGATTGTAGTCACTGTTAACTATAGTGTGCTTACTTCAAAAGACCAAAGGTACAAATACAATATATCTTAACTTACCATGAAGAGGGTGCGGAAGTTGGCCAGCTCTCCGAAGAAATCCTCCACGCTCACCGAGTGGGGGTCGAATGCAAAGAAACTGCCCATGTTCTCATAGAGCTTCTGCATGTTCTTGTGCATGGTGGACAGCTTTTCATATTGCTCCCGAGATTGCTTACTGAAGCCGTGAGAAGAATTCAGTCAAGGAAAACGAAGAAACGCATGCCTCAAACAAAAACAAAACACACTCAAAGGGTACAGTAATCAGAACTAAAAGCAAATACCAAACATGTTAAACTGCAGGGAAGAAGAAAATATATATCACAAGCTTTGTAGTATTTTGAAAGCTTACCTATGTCAAGGTCATGGAAACAAAGAAAGAAAAAAAACTGGATACAGAAGGGTCTCTATCTCACTTTGGAGTCAATAGCATGGAGAGCTAATAGCTGCGGCTCTGAAGTAATGGAAAGGTGTTTTGTAGGCAGCAGCATGACACAGATGGTTGCTGAAAAAGCTGATTGCAGTCATTGTTCTATTGTTTCGCACAACAACAATGGGGTCAGGTTGTTTTGAACCTCACAGCTCACGCCGCACTGTGTAATTTACTGAACAGGCGGAGGAATTTTCTCCTGGTGAATGAGTATTGACAGCCGGCATCAGTTAAGCATTATCACAGCAGCCACTGACCTCATAGAGACTACACTTGGGCACTACAAGACTCCCACCCTGGGTGGGCTGTGGACAACACAACAGAGATGTATTGTATGTACACACATGCATGCAAAAGTGAGAACTAAACAAACCTGGACAAAGCAAGAAAAAAATCCTAAATATACCAAAACAAACATGAAAAAAAGACCTTGGGAAGCACTTTCTTCAATACATTCTCTTCTTGAAATAATAGTGTTTGTTAAAGTGGAATGTCTCACATACAGCAAGAATTATGCAAAGTCCCCCCCCCCCCCCCCAATGGACTACATAACTTGGTATAAAAAATAACCACCAGTCATGAAGACATTTTTGCTCTAAACCTTTCCTACTTCTAGGATCATCAAAAGCAAGAAAATTTTTCCTGTATGTGAACTTACTAACCAAGAAAACACATTCAGTGACTCACAATCTGTGCTAATACAGTGTGCACACACTGACACAGTCTATTCTAGTAAATGGAATGTCTCAAGTGGTGCAGTGCTACAAAATTATTTTAAAAAGGCAGTCTAGGCATATAGACAATGTTTAGGCAACAAAAAAACATGATTTTTGCATGCACACATCCAGCCATTCATGCATCCAGCCATTCATCCATCCGTCCTCTTTACTCGCTTTTTTCTTTTTGGGTTACGGGGTCACTGGTGCCCATATCCAGCAGTCACTGTGCAAGAAGTGGGGGACACCATGGACAGGTCTCCTGTCCATCTCAGGGCCACATAGAGACAAACAATTATTCACTCTCTCACGCACACCTAGGGGCAATTTAGTTACCAATTTAGCTGCCCAGTCAGACTAACATGTATGTTTTTGGTCTGTGGGAGGAAACTGGAGTACCCAAAGAAAACCCACACATGCATGGAAAGAACATGGAAACTCCACCCAGAAAGGCCAGTGACCTACTCGCTGAGAGGCAATAGTTCTACCAACTGAGCCACCATGCCGTCCACAACTGCCTAGCAAAATGGAAAATCACAAACAAAAGACCACTTCCATACCTGCAAATGCTTGTAGATCACTTTGTGATAATTGTAAAAAGCACTCTGAAGTGTGCTTCTAAAAAATGTTTACAGGTCCAAACAATCCTACACTTTGCCCTCCCTCACACCCTAAAACTAATCAGAAAACCCTACCCCATGGGGAGAAATTCTAACACAATATAGGAATAAACTAAGTGACAGAAGCAAGGAGTGAAAAGGGATTAGGCATTGGTATCATAAGTATACTCTATTGCTGACAGCACAGACCAATAAAACATACATTATGAAACTGTAGTAAAGCGGAAATTATCTGATGTAATTTGTCTTTCTGCCATTCTTATGCATTTTCCAATGTAATGAGTTAAAAATAACAATGACACTGTTGAACTGAGTTGCGAAAGCTCAGGAGAAGAGAAATGTCTTCAAAAAACAAAAGAGTTAAGTTGCCTTTGATTCAACTTGGCAGGATTACCATGTCCTGGTTGACTGAGAACCCAAACTAGCATAATGATGCTGCTGCTGTCAACCGATAAACAAAGCCATAATTTGGACAACATGCTTCTTGTGTTACACTTAGCAAGGTAGCAGCTTCCAGTTCTTTGTATCATGGGTGCAGTTAAAGGCAATTAGTGCTCTTTTGCAGTCGCCTTGGCAACATGCACAGTCTGGTGATACAGCATGTGGCCTGCGATTACCAGGGCCAAACATCCATCAAGATATTGCTCTTTTTTAGCAATCTCCCATTATTCTATGAAAACCACCCATTTATTGAATTTTGGTTCTGCCTTTTTAATTGACCATCACAATCAAGTCCAGGGGTTATTCTGTGTCCCTAGGCAAGTTTTTAGCTCACAAATGTTTTTCATGGGTTTCCAAAAAAACAATAATAATACAAATAAAAAAATAAACACCTTTCAATTATGTGTGTAACTGTGCACATATACACACTACCATGTACATGTGCACAGGGAAGTGTATTTGGTTATTTTGGTGACGGAATGATGGGTGTAGATTTGGATTGCATTTTAGGATAGAAGTAGGGCAGTCTGCACAATGAAGGGAGGGTGGGAATCATCCTTCTGTCTTTTCTATTCCTCCTTCTTCCTCCCATGTCTACCTGAATGTGATTTATCCCCATTGTTCCTGTCAGACTGTGGTTATATCTTCCTTTGTACACCTCCTTTTTTCCTCTCTTCGGTGCACAAACTCAAGGGTCCCAGCAGAGCCATGTAAAAGTAAAACTTTGCCAAAGTAACATACCAGTATATTCTAAACATCCAAACACTTAAATGAGCTTTTTTTAACATAACTGTAATTCTTTGGTACATATGTAAAATTATCCTTTGCAAAAAATATATATATATTTTTTAATTCAGTCTACTATGACATGGTACCATTTATTGAAAGTGAAGTGTTTTATTTCCTAATCCAGAAACTACTTATGCAGCTAGTTTTAAATGCTAGGCTAAACTACAAAAAAAAAAAAAGTTAAGTTATGTAGTGCTCGTAGACATCAACAATGTTTTGCTAAAATTAAGTTTAAAAAAAAGTGTCAGTTTGGTTGCAAAAGACATGTTGATACATGGATATTTCAGCACATGCTTAGCAATGCCTAGTGACATCATCTACAACCATTATTGACTTGCAGTATTGATCAAGTCCACGGTTCCTTTCGCTCAGAAAATTTTCATCTCATAACTGCCGCCTGACTTGCACAATAGCCATTACAGTGAGGCAGTGAATAGTTTTGGTGTTTGTTGTGGCTTGTGGCTCTGTTTCTTTGTCTCTACTTCGCTCTCCTTCTCTCACTCACTGAAATGCCCAGGCATGCGCTGTGGTAGATGCGTCCCGCTGGGGACTGGACTGAAGCTGGCTGGGCTTTTGCTCCTCGTATTTCCACATCAAAGACATGTCATAGTGATGGAGCCTGACGCACACTATCCTGCAGCAACACAACCTGTACGGTAGAGCCTTCATCCAACATGCATACAAAAACAAAATGAAAAGGCAAACATACGCACGCACACACATACAGACCAAACATGTAGTCGCTCTACTCACACTATTATTCTTTGAATGTCTCTCTGTCAGGTTGTCCATTACAATTTTCTTAATATTCACACTCGTTGCATCCTTTGTTGTCTTTTCTCACTTTTCATTTCTTTTTTTACCTGTCAAACACACTTTTACTATAAATCTTTTCTACATCGCCACTTGTTATTCTAGCCATCCAAATCTCAATCGAACAACAAATCCATTCTTTCTCTCCCCCTCAGAGTGAACTTTTAGAGATATTCTGTCTGAGCTGTGTCTGCTTTTCACATCACTTGGGCTTGGAGTGGAGAAGGGTGTGGGCACCATGGGTCTCACGGTAAAGCATCAGCCAGCCTTTGGTTGCCCCCTATCCTGTTTGTTAGTCTTTGTTCTGCTCTTTGGGCTATCCTTACAGGACTGCACTCCCTGTGCACTAAACCTTACTAACACAGAGAAAGGCTACAGCTTCGTAGATGGAAAGTTCAGTCTTGCAATCATGGCTACTGCTGTGAGTATACACTTGTGAAAGCATTCTGCTTCCCAGTAAGATTAAAACACTTAATTGTCCAAATGTGGGGATTTGCTTCTCAAGAGCTCTGCATGATACTGAAATAAATTCAACCTTTATTTTTTACAGGTCAGTCCCATTGAGCTTCGGGGACTCATTTACAAGCGAGACCTGATTTTAACAAATAATGATGACAACAATACACAATCATAAAATAAAGCAAACTAATTGAGAATAATAAATGAAAGAAATTTGTAATTAAAAAATGAAACAAAAACAGCTAGAATGTAAGACAATGTAAAATACTAAAAACAGGAACATGTCTGCATTGGTTTTTGCCATGAACTTAGCAGATGTCTGAAGCCACTTAGAGAGGTCATGGTCGAGAGCTTCAGATCTTTTTGCAAGATATTACAGAAAACAGGAGTGGAGTAGGAGACGGCCCTTTTGCTTAGTTCAGTTCTCACTGAGGGAACACTGCAGGTAATAATGTCCAGAGAGCGCACACTGTAGCGTCACTTACGAAGTGACATGTGGGAGATGTATGAAGGCAACAGACCAAGAAGTGATTTAAAATATGAAAATGTACAAGTGAGAGAGTTTATGTGAAGTTAATGATGACTTAACCAGTAAATACAGGGTGTAATGGTGGGTACGGTAGTTACAGCCAGTTATAAATTAGCGCATCGTGAAAGGCAGCGTCCGACATCTGCAAGGTTCTTGTAGGAGCGTTCATGAAAATAATGTCACCATAGTCAATGGAGGGAAGGAAAGTCACAGTTACAAGGCGTTTCCTAGCATTCAGAGTTAGACAGTAAATGCTTTAACAACAATTTAACTTTATAAATTTGATATTGCATTTGTAAACCACAAGAGATTTGCAGCACACCAGCTATCATGTAGTCACTAGCTTACATAACTCAAACATTTAACTAAATTTTGGCTACCTATGCTGG